GTAGCGTGTTATAGCATCATAGCTCACGGCAACCTCAAACTCTCAGGTTCAAGCAATTCTTTTGCCTCAGTCTCCCAAGTAGCTAGGACTACAGGTGCCAACCATAACACCCAGCTATTTTTGTTGTTGTCATTGTTGTTTAGCAGGACCAAGCTGGGTTGGAACCCACCAGCCCTGGTGCATGGGGCCGGCACCCTAACCACTGAGCTATGGGCACTGAGCCTTAACTGAGTTTTCATTAAACCTCATTCCTAGCCTTATCCCTATCACTTTTTACCTGATACTTTTTATTTCTTTCTTATTTCTTTAGGAACCTTCAGTTCCAGAAGGTTCCTAAATTTTTTTTTAAACAGTGTCTCAGTTTGTTGCCATTGCATCACAGCTCACAGCAACCTCAAACTCTTGGGCTCAAGTGATCCTCCTGCCTCAGCCTCCCAAGTAGGTGAAACTACAGGTACCTGCCACCACACCTTGCTATTTCTAGAGATGAGGTCTTGCTCTTGCTCAGACTGGTCTTGAACTCCTGAGCTTAGGCAATTCACCCGCCTCAGCGGAATTACAGACATGAGCCACCACACCCACCTGAATTCCTAAATATTTAAAAAGAACCATCTATACCCTAGCTAGGGTGGTTGTTCTTCATATTTTAGGGCTCATGTATTCCCATTTACGAATATCATTAAAGCTAAATATCCTCTCTAAAGGAATTTACACATATGCACAATTACATCAAAAACTGCAAACAATTTTAAAGGGCTATCTGACCCCCTAAAAGCCCACCAGGAACCCAGCTCAAGAATTTCCATCTTAAAGGGAAACAGAATAAACTTACAGGATGACAAGGATTCCACTTTGCAGACCCCAAGACTGTCAAGTAGTTTTTCCTAGGACCGCTACCTGGCCCACAGGCTTTCTCTGAATCAGTCCACACTTACATACTTTTGGTGCGGGAACCTGACCCCATTCAGATGTGAACGAAGTGTCATTGAGGGCACCCCTGCCTCAGACAAATGCTCCAGCTGCAAATCACGAAAGTAGACGTCCTAACAGCCTTGTGAAAAAGTCTCTGCCTGGCTACCCCTTAGAGTTGCTCTTAACAATGTGTACATAATAATTGTGCAGTCTAGAGGAGGTGACTATTCAGCAGGCAGGCAGCTTTATACTGTCATAAACCTCACTGGTTCAGCTCCTTTGATTTATGAACAGCCCCTCATAATTTAGACGCTATGCTTGGATGCAATTCCAGCACTAATTGCATAAGACACGTGCCGCCATGCTACAACTCCCCTGGTGCCTGCTGCTCATGGCAGGAAGAGGCTATTTATGGCAGAAAATCTCTGGGCCACAAGTCCCATCCCCCAATTGACACCCACCTTCAAATGATTAAAAGCCCAATGAAAATCTGTTACTGGGTACCCAATAAACTTATTAGGGCCGAGAATGTGCCCTTCTTGGACTATAAGAAGGATTTAGGGGCCAGTTTGAGCTGACTATAAGTGTCCTATTGTTGTCTCAGTCTGGACATGTTTCCCTTCTGAGGAATTAAGGAGATGGGTTGGGTTGGGTATAGAGGGAGCAAGGAGAACCAGAGCTGGGAACAAAAGAGGCAAACTGGTTTACCTGGACAGCGAGGACAGCACAGATGAGGAATATGCACGGGAGAGAGACAATGAAGGTTTGGACATCTGACTCGGCTGCAAAGCACATTCCCGTTCTAAAAGACAAAAAGGCAACAACAAAAAAGGCTTTTAAAGGCTGCTAGATCATGCCAGTTTAGGAAAAACAGTCAGGCAGCGACTCACCCAGACAGTGAATAATGCATTCTCAGGGAGTTGAATTCAATCAACAATTTCTTTCTTTTTGTCATCACTAGCACCTCTGCTAGGTCGGTTGATAGCTTACTGGAATATTTTTCTAAGGCTGGGATCACTACTGCTCCAGTTTTTAAAGCTTCCCGTTAACTGTGGGAGGTTTCCTCTGGCCTGGTTCTGTGGTGTTTCAACCATTCCCCAGCTCTAACTGCGTATCTTTTCCAAGAACCTACTCCGATTTCATAATCACCTGCCCCAATGCCATGAAGGGAAGAGATTATGCCCAATGGGTCCCCTGAGCTGCTGCCCAGCCCTGGGCAAAGAATCATCTCTAGCACGTGGATTCTGAATTCCATATAACTCTGCCTTGGCACAGACTAAGTGACTCTTTTCCTCCTTTCCTTTTTCAGCCAAAATTCTTCTGAGACCAGGCTAGAGTTTGGAAGTGAGCTGATTAGGTAGTATGCCTGGGTGGGGTGACTGGGTCCCTGCCTCATTTACAAGATCCCTAGCTCTGACAGCTCACAACCATTGCTAGAACAAAGGAAGACTCTGGAAATCGATTTTACATTCATACTATTCATCCATAATTCATTTGAAGCAAAAACTGCCTGTATCTCTTAGGCTGCTATAGGGGAAGAGGGTAGTGAAGAGGATGAAGAAAAAGACGTCTACTGCTTGAGCTGCTGGCACTGGGGTCATATTAACATTTCCACTGCCCTGCAGACATCAAAAAGTCTCTTCTCACACATATACACAATGGTTAGCTGTCAGTCTCCAACATGTCAGGTTAAGAATCTGACAAAATCAGGCCATAGCAGGCAGTTGATCAGTCCCAAATTCTCTTATTTAATACATGTTCTAGTCATTTAAAAGAAGCAGACTTATTTGATCCAAATCAGAATCCCCTTATCACAACCTTTTTTTTTTTCTCATGTACTTTCTACAGTAACTTTTTGGAGTATTGTACTTGGAAATACCATTGAAACCCCTTACGTATCACACTCCTCAGAGCCAGATGGTAATGCCTGGAGGTGAGATCACTGAAGCACATTAGAAACCACCTAGCTGTGGTTTAAACTGAATCCTTCTTAATGCTATATACTAAATTGTGGTCTAGAGTTAATAGATCAAAAATAATAATGATAATGATAACTGCAATGATCAAGACAATGGTGATGATAACAGCAGTTAACATTTCTTGAATGTTTACGTGAATACTGTTTTAAGTGATTTAAATCAATTTATAAGTTTAATCATTACTACAACCCAATGAAATAGGTAATATAATATTATCCCACTTTATCTTTTTTTTTTTTGAGACAGAGCCTCAAGCTGTCCCCCTGGGTAGAGTGCTGTGGCATCACAGCTCACAGCAACCTCCAGCTCCTGGGCTCAAGCGAGTCTCCTGCCTCTGCCTCCCAAGTAGCTGGGACCACAGGTGCCCGCCACAACACTTGGCTAATTTTTGGTTGCAGCCGTCATTGTTGTTTGGCAGGCCCAGGCTGGATTCGAACCCACCACCTTGGGTGTATGTGGCTGGCACCTTAGCCGCTTGAGCCACAGGCGCCAAGCCTTATCTTATTTTTTAACAGTGGGATTATTGGATCATACAGAGTCTCATTATGTCGCCCTCAGTAGAGTGCTGTAGCGTCACAGCTCACAACAACCTCAAGCTCTTGGGCCTAAGTGATTCTTTTGCCTCTCAGCCTCTCAAGTAGCTGGGAGGACAGGTGCCTGCCACAATGCCCAGCTATTTTTTTGTTGTAGTTGTCATTGTTGTTTAGCAGGCCTGGGCCAAGTTTGAACCCATCAGCCCCAGTCTATGTGGCCAGTGCCCTAACCTCTGAGTTACTAGTGCCGAACCTGTTTCAGGCTTATTTGACAGCACAAAGAATTAGGTTGCAATGTTTGCATTTGTTAGATAGAGTCCCTCTGATAATTGTGACCTGCTCCCAAGAGGTGTGCCATACACCCATTTTAAAGGAGAAGAAACTCAATGATCTCAGAGAGGTTAACTTGTCCAATGTACATTCTCATAGGTGGCAGATCCGGTGCTGGAAATTTGGTCTGTCCTTAGCCTCTCAGTGCTGATCCTGAAGGTTAGTTAGATTTCTCCATGTTCAAAATTCTAAAAGTCCAAAATTCTGTTCAAATGGTAAACAAGCCTGAAAGTGACTGCTCCTATTCTAGCTAGGCGTGGGGGAGGAGTTTCAGTTCTTACATCAGGTCTTGAAAATTCTTTGGATATGTTCAGCATTCTCAATTCTCAAGCCATCATATGAAGCCTTCCTTCCCAAATGGCCTAGTGCAATGTTTCTCTACCAGGGGTGATTCTGCTCCCCAGACCACTTGGCCATGTCTGGAGACATTTTTGATTGTCACAACTAGAGTTGCTGTCCAGCGGGTAGAGGCCAAAGATAATACTAAATACTCTACAAGGCACAGGCCAGCCCCCACCACAAGAAATTATCTGCCCTACAAATGTCAATAGTGCAGAGGTTGAGAAATCCTGGCCTAATACATGATGATAGAGGCTTGTTCAGAAAGATGGACCACATACCCAGATGAGGTCCTAGGTCAATGCCATGAAAAGAAGATGGAACTACCCACTTAAGCTATTGCAAAGATAATGTTTAACTTGCCCAAAAGCTTCTTTGAGTGACTGGACAGGAGCCAAGGCCAAGCCAGAAGAACTTTAATCCTCACCAGGTACAGGCCAAGGTTTCATAAACTCAGTCTTAATTACAGTTACTGGCTGAGATAGCATAAAATCTACTCTACCAATGAACCAGTTTATAATCTGTCCTAACCTCCTCTCTAAACATCAGCCTTGAAAATAGTTTTCAAGAATTATTTTGTCTTAAAATTCAAGTATTCTATTTGGCTTCTGCCCTCATTCCCACTAGAAAGCTCTTCTGCTATCTCACAGATACTTATGATCTATTAGCCTAAAGATATCCTCAGGTATCTGTCCGTAGCAAATACTCGGACAGTCCATAAAATTCAAGCCAAAAAGCAACAGAGGAGAACAGATAGGAGACATTTATTTTTCCATACAGTCTGCTTCTTAGTTTCTTTTCGGCTTTTATCACCCATGCTCCCTGGCCATCTGGATACTAAAAGCCCCTCTGCGTGCTCAGCAACAAACTGGGAAATCACACACCATGAGAAACTGTACCTCTGAGCAGATGCAGTTCACACAGTAAACCAACCCATAAGGTTCCAGGTAAGGATGCCATCTCTCGCCCACTCTGTACTTCTTGTCTTGAAACAAACAATACGTCTCTGAGTCTGTAGGGAACAAAATGGAAAAAAAAAAAAGTCTGTTTTAAAACACCTATCAAGTAACAAAATTCAAAGGTAATCACAAGTTTCATCCCTTTTAGTACTTATCAATGGAAAAGGCAGAGTGAGTATTTATCAAGCTCCCACTATGCATGCAATGTTTAACATACTTTGCTCACAGAATCCTCACAATGACCCATAAAGTAGATGTAACTATTAGTCTCAATTTATAGATGAGGAAAATGAAGGGTCACATAACCAGCTGATTGGGACTCAAACCCAGGTTTGAGTGGCTGGGTTTGTGGCTGACAGCTAAGCACAAACTCTTAAGTATTATTACTCTGTTACAACTATAAGATAAAGGAGTATAACATGTATGCTTTTTCCTCCCCAAAAGGATGTGTTCCCTTTCTTTGGAAATGCAAACTAATGTCTGAGCGTTTGATGGTGATTGAGAAGCAATAGACTGCACACATTGTATTAGGTCTCTACAAATGGCTTTGCCTACACATGCTAAAAATCATTCAATCATTAAACAAATATTTGAGCATTGATTATCAGGTACTACACTAAATGTTGGAGATAAAATGATGTGAAAAAATTTTTACACCAAGTCTCTGTTCCACTCAACTTATAGACCTCCTACTGCACAAGCACCTCCTAATTAACTTAAACCATTCAACTCCCCCTTTAATGGAACAGAAATTTTGGTAGCCATAACTTATCTTATACTATAGTTCATTTGAGCGCACACCATGTTGCCTGTCTTAATGTATAGAGCTCATTTCTCCAGCAGGGTCTTCAAAAGCAGGCAACATCTATTCCTTACTCTCTTATCCATCATCCTAGTACAACGTGGCCAAAAAAAAGCAATTGACAAATGACTGGTAAATTGAATTTCCAAACCAAGCAGTTTATCTTCTAATCGCAATATATCCTATCTGCTGAGTGCCATCATATAAGGTCAAAATAAATCAATACTCTTCTTGTAGCAAATACATTAATTTTCCTCCCTTCAGTAGTATACATTTCCCTGATAATCAAAACTGAAAGAATAAAGACCAGAAGATGATCCTTCCAACATACAATAAACAAAGTATTAGCACTGGAAACGTTTTAATCATTCAAATCAAGAAGTAAAGGACCAACCAATCCAATAGAAAAAATAATCTAAGACCAGGAAGAGACAATTCAGAGAAGAAATGAGAACAGAGAATAAACATGAAAAGACATTTAACCTCACTAGTAACCAGAGCCTAAAATGAAAACTACATTCAGATAGAGGCCTCATGTCACTTATTTCTTTAAAGACGCTCTCTGAATCTTTCCAACTACCCAGCAGGTGAATTCCAATTTACATTTCAAATCTTTATTTCCAACTTCTGCAGAGCAGGCGAGTGGGTGACAAAGATCTGGGCTTCAGTTTTAACTAGCTCTAGCTGTGACACTGAGCAAGTCAAACTCTGTCAACCTCAGTTTTCCACATCTGTAAAATATGGATTATGTTTCTCAAGCGGATATTAGAATATTAAATGAGGCACTTTGTAAATTGTAAAGTGCTCTAAAACACCTAGTATTATTTTGTATTTGTTGATTATTTTATTAGGAAGGTAATGTGTACTCAGTGTAGAAAACTGAAAAACATACACAAACACACAAAAGAAACAGTAATAAAAACATAACTATTCTTCCATAGCTATAGGGAAGAAAAAAACATCATATATAATCCTAGCATAAGATTACCACTTTTAACGAGTTTATAACATATAAGTAGTCTGTGAGTTGAAGAAGAAATCGAAAGGGAAATTATTGTTAGCAAGTTTTTTATACCAAATGAAAATGAAAATGCAGCACATCATTGTAGGATTCAGCTAAAGAAGCACTTAGGAGGAAAATTACTAGGAGTCGAAAAATTTCTCACAAAGGAAATTCCAGGGCCACATGGCTTCACTGATATATTCTATCAAACATGCTACCAAATCTTTCCAAGAAAACTGAAGAGGCAGGAATGCTTCTCAACTGATTCTTTGATGTAAGTATTATACTGAGATCAAAACCAGATACAGATGTTATAAGAAAAAAAACGACATGGGCACAATGTAGGGGTGTATGGCACACCTTATGGGTGCAGGACACAACTACAAGAGGGACTCTACCTAAAAAATGCAAATATTGTGAATTGGTTGTTTGTACCCTCACATTAACCTGAAATTTAAAAAAAATCAAAAAAGAGAAAAAAGAAACTATAGCCCAATATCTCTAACTAACATAGATGCAAAAATTCTGAACACAATTTTAGCAAATTAAATCCAACAATGGATAGAAAGGATAATACTTTTACGAGCAAGTGGGAATGATCCTGAAAATTCAAAGCTATTTCACATTCACAGTTTAATCAATATGATTCACCATGTCACAAAACTGGAGAAGAAAAACCAAGTAATCATTGCAACACATGCAGAAAAATAATGTGAAAACATCCTGCATCTATTCATGACAAAAACTCTGAGCAAATGGGAAGAGGACTCCCCCAACCTGATAAAAGGCATCTACAAAAAGCCTGCATCACTTAATGGCAAAAAACTGAATGTTTTCTCCCTAAGATCAGGAGCTATGCAAGGATGTCTGCTTCACCACTCTTGGAGATCTTAGCCAGTGAAATAAGGTAAGAAAAATAAATAAAAGCCCTATATATTGGCTTTTAACTTTTTATTTATTTATTTGGATAATCATACATAAATATGTATTTATTTTTACTTTCTACATAGAAAATCTCAAAGCATCTGCTAAAGTTACTATAAATAGTAAGAGAATTCAGCAAGATTCCAGGATATAAGCCAACAACACACAAAAACTAATCACAGTTATGTATTCTGTAATACAATGAACAACTGGAAATTGAAAGTTGAAAGCATACCATTTGTAATAGCTATACCCTAAACATGAAAATACCAAGGTATAAATCAAAGTATGTGCAAGATCTGAGCCCAGAAAACTATAAAAACACTGATTAATGAAATCAATGTAAGCCATAAAAACTAGAGTTAAACCTTGTTTATGAATTGGAAGACACAATACTGTTAAGATACCAACTCTTGGCTCGGCGCCTGTGGCTCTAGTGGCTAAGGCGCCAGCCACATACACCTAAGGTGGTGGGTTCGAATCCAGCCCAGGCCCGCCAAACAACAATGATGGCTGCAACCAAAAAACAGCCAGGCGTTGTGGTAGGCGCCTGTGGTCCCAGCTACTTGGGAGGCTGAAGCAGGAGACTCGCTTGAGCCCAGGAGTTAAAGGTTGCTGTGAGCTGTGATGCCATAGCACTCTACCCAGGGGGACAGCTTGAGGCTCTGTCTCAAAAAAAAAAAAGATACCAACTCTTCCCAAAGTGATTTATAGATTCTGTGCAATCCAAATACATCTGCCAGTAGGATACTTTATAAAAACTGGTAATGCAATTAAAAATATATATATGGAAAGGCAAAGGAACTAGAAGAGACAAGACAATTTTGAAAAAGATGATGAAGGCTTAATATAAAACTATAATTTTTAAAGACAATGTGGTATTGCCGAAGATTAGACAAAAAGATCAATAGAATAAAAAAAATAGAACCACACTTGTAATCAATTGATTTTCAACACAGATGCAAAGGTAGTTCAATAAAGAAAGGATAGTATTTTCAACAAATGCTGCAAAAATAATTGAACAATCATATGTAAAATGTGAAATAAATGAATATTAACTCACATCTTATCTTATATGCAAAAATGAACTCAAGATGGATCATATACTCTAATATAAACCCTAGTAGGTAAGCCGTTGTTAGATAGGACTCCAATGCTACAATCCATAAAAGAAATATGGACTTTTTTCGTAAAATAGGACTTTATTGAAATTAAAAACTTCTCATTGATTGACAATGTCAAGAGAATGAAAAAAACACAGATTGAGAGACAATAATGTGAATTACATTTTTGCTATGAGATTTTTATCTAAAATATGTGAAGAAATCAAAACAAAAGAATAAGAAAGTAAACAACCCAATTTAAAAAATGGGAATACAGGCTCAATGCCTACAGCTCAATGGTTAGGGCACTGGCCACATACACCAGGGCTGGCGGGTTTGAGCCCAGCCTGGGCCTGCTAAACAATGACAACTGCAACATAGTCAGGTGCTGGCTGTGGCAGGCGCCTGTAGTCCCAGCTACTTGGGAGGCTGAGTCAAGAGAATTGTTTAAGCCCAGGAGTTTGAGGTTGCTGTGAGCTGTGACGCCATGGCACTTGACCCAGGGCAACATAGTGAGACTTTGTCTCAAAAAAAAAAAATGGGAATACAGTTTGAATACACACTTCAAAGTGCGTATTCAAACACACTTGAATACACACTTCAAGATAGAGAAGTGATGTACTTGAATACACACTACTCTATATCAAAGAAGATATAGAGATGTCAAAATAACAATGTGATACCATCATACACGTATTAGAATGGCCCAAATCCAAAATCACTCACAACACCAAATGCTGGTAAGGATGAGAACACCAACAGGAATTCTCATTCATTTCTGGGATAATGCAAAACAATAAAGTCCCTTTGGAAGGTAGTCTGGCAGTTTCTTACAAAACTAAACATAGCTTTACATAAGACATAGGGATAATACTCAAAGGTATTATCCAAATGAGTTGAAAGCTTATGTCCGCATCAAAACCTATGCACAAATATATAGAAGCCTTATTCACAGTTGCTGTAAACAGGAAGCTACGAAGATATTCTTCAATTGGGGAATGGATAAACAAGGTTTTATACAACCAGACATCAATGATAAAAAGAAATGAACTGCTAAGTCATGAAAATTCTTGGAGGAACCTTTTTCTTTTCTTTCTTTCTTTTTTTTTTTTTTTTGAGACAGTCTGACTGTGTCACCCCTGCTAGAGTGCCATGGCATCATAGCTCATAGCAACCTCAGACTCTTGGACTCAAGTGATTCTCTTGCCTCAGCCTCCTGAG